AGGTTTTTAGGGCTAGAGAGACCGCTCTCAGTTCCAGGCGATTTATGTGCCAACCCATCTGCTCCTCTGACCACTGACCCGAGGCGGGCTTCCCCAAGCAGACCGCTCCCCATCCGGTGGACGAAGCGTCCGTCAGGACCTCCACGCGCCGTGTCACTATACCCAGAGGGACGCCCGAGCTGAAGAGATCTGGGTTCTTCCACGGGGCCAGGGCGCGGGCGCATCCTCGGGTGACCATAATGCGCATGTGGCCGGAATACCACGCACTCGGGGGGACGCGTGCTTTCAGCCAGAGCTGAAGAGGTCTCATATGCAGCAGCCCCAGATGACACACTGATGAAGCCGCTGCCATTCGACCCAGTAGCCTCTGAAATTCCTTCAGTGGGACGAGCCTGCCCGGTCTGAAGAGACCGAGAGAAGAGCTCAAAGCCTCCGCCCGCTCGGGGGAGAGGCGCGCTCTCATCCTCACCGAGTCCAAGCATACTCCTAAGAATGAGGACGTCTGACTCGGTGTGAGCACACTCTTCTGGGCGTTCACCTTCAAACCGAGCACCTCCAGGTGCCGAAGGAGGGTATCCACCTGGCTGACCAGCGCTTCTTTCGACTGCGCGAGGACCAGCCAGTCGTCCAGATAGTTCAGGACACGCATCCCGCTCGCTCTGAGGGGTGAGAGTGCCGCGTCCACGCATTTCGAAAAAGTACGGGGGGCGAGGGCCAGTCCGAACGGGAGTACCGCGTACTGGAACACTGAATTCTCGAACGCGAATCTCAGGAATCGTCTGTGGCGCTTTACAATCTGAATATGAAAGTACGCGTCCTTTAAATCCACCGAAGCGAACCAATCTCCGGGGCGAATTTGCGCCAGGATTTGTTTCAGTGTAGTCATCCTGAACGCGCGCTTGTGAAGCGCTCTGTTGACGGGTCTCAGATCCAGAATGGGGCGGAGACCCCCTCCCTTCTTCGGCACTACGAAATAGCGGCTGTAGAACCCGCTTTCCCACTCGCTCGGGGGAACCGGCTCTATCGCTTTTTTCTCGAGCAGGCTGCACACCTCCTGCCTCAGGACATGAGCGTTTTGGGGCAAGGTTAACGACTGAATTACGCCGCGGAAGCGGGGTGGTCTGCGTTTGAACTGAAGTGTGTACCCGTGCCGAATTATATTTAGGACCCACGGAGAAATGCCCGGAATAGCCTCCCACGCTGCCTGAAAGTGACTCAGTGTGGGCTGATCTAAACCTGCGGTCATCGCCGCTGTGTGTGGGCTGTGAATGAACACCTCGCGGCCGCGAGGTGCCCTTATAGTTAACAACCGTGACTCTGCACTGCTCGTAGGCAGGGCGGGTAACACGGTGTGTGGTGCAGGAGGGGAAAAAAACTCTGTTTGTGAACAAGTATTTTGCTTTATTGAACACACACATGCAACAGCATTTACAAAACAATCGCACACGTCGCTCGTGAAACGCCGAGGGACTATGTGCTGAAGAGCGCGGCGCTTTGGAGCAGGGCCGGCCTGGCGCTCTCTTCCCCTCTTGCCCGGGCGGTCAGGACGATTTCTTGGGTCTCGCTGGAGACGCAACGACCTTCCTGCGCGGACTTCTCTGGGCCGCCCGCTTCTTCCCCGCACCCTGCCACTGGTTGCTCCGCCCTCTGTGAGCATCCGGCTCCTGGCGAGGTGCTGACTGCCGTCTCGCCGCCGCTTGAGGTTGGCGGCCCGAGGCAGATGACGAGCGAGAGCGAGGATGCAGCGGAGGCGGCGGCGCCCTCCGAGGGATGACGTGACTCATCGCCTTTGCCTTCTTCTGGGTCTCGGAGTACCTCTCGGTGACCTTTTCGACGGCATCCCCGAACAGGCCTGCTGGGGAGATCGGTGCGTTCAGCAGCGTCTTTCTGTCAGCCTCTTGAACGTCGGAAAGGGTGAGCCACAGGTGCCTGTGGAGGACCACCATGAACCCCATCGAACGGCCTACCGCCTGAGCTGAGCGCTTCGTGGCCAAGAGCGCGAGATCCGTGGCTGAACGAAGGTCCCGGATGGCGTCAGCGTCGACAGAGGCGGCGCCATCCAGCGACTTCAACAGCTTCGCCTGCATCACCTGGAGCACGGCCATGGCGTGCAGTGCAGACACCGCCTCCCCCGCCGCTCCATAAGCCTTGTTAACCTGGTGGGCCGTGAATCTGCAGGCTTTGGACGGCAGGCTGCGGTCCGAGCCTAGGGCGGGAGCCGATGGGCAGAGATGCGCGGCTACGGTCTCCTCGACGGGGGAGATTCGGAGGTAGCCGTGGTCCCCCGCCTCGTCCACGGGGGCAAACATGGCCTGGGTGGAAGTGAGGGTGCGCGCCGATTGCGGGGCCGCCCACGACTTCACCACGTGCTCATGAACGTCAGGAAAGAACGGGGTTCCTCTCCTCGAAGCGGCCTGGCGGCGGCTCGATTGAAGGAACCACGTGTCTAGCTTGCTCTTGGAGGGTTCATCCGGGGCCTTCCAAGAGAGGTCCAGCTCCTCGACGGCCTTGGAGAGGATGCGAAAAAGCTCATCCTGTAGGTCCGCCGGGGTGTCCTGTTCCGAAGCCGCTAAGTCCGGGGCGGCCTGTTCCGCGCCCCAGTCGGTCTCGGAGGCAGACAGAGACATGGAGTCTTCCTCCTCGCTCACCCCGAAAGACACGAAGTCCGCGACCTCACGAGGGGGGCGAAAGGTGGCATCGGGGAAACTCACCGGAGGCCGTATCTCGACTCCGCGGTTGGGGGGGCCCACCAGCGGCTCGGTGGCGGCAGTGGGCCCAATCCCCGCAGCTGCACGAGCCTCATCCCGCCTGGCCTTGAGAGCTCGAAGGGACATGTCCGCGCAGTGCTCGCACGACCCGCCATCCCCGAGGGCCGACTCAGCATGGGCCAGCCCCATGCATGCGATACAGAACAGGTGCGTGTCCGGGGGCACGATGGGGCCCGAGCACAAGTTGCAGATAGTCGCCATCGGATGCAGAAGACAGTAAGCGTATCTTCGGCGCACCTTCGACGACGGCGTGAAATAATCCTTAGGTTTGTTGTAGTATCAGCTATCTAGCACACGATTTGAGCGTGAAGAGAGAGATTCTAAAGAAGGATTGACGCTGCATTGTACTTATACTGCATGTTCAGTATTTGCATATTTGCGTCAATTGGCCAGCTTTGCTGGCGTTAGCCTATAAGATTTCAGCGGAAGTGAAGGAGGAGAGGAGTTCCCATATACGACATCCGTAATGTCGAAGTTCCGTAGCCTTGATAGGGAACACACGCGACGCGGTTATGTTTTCTGAGCTGCAGTAAACAAACACCGTTGCACTTTGTCGTTTATCAAAAACAAACGTAATAAATAATTGTATTTTACTCTCACTTTTGTCAGGCACAAAGTGATGCAAGAGATGCACTGCCTGCCCAGCTAGGTTAGCAAGACCGATAAACATCAAACTTTGCTGACATCAAACTTAGAGAGGAGAGAACACAAGTTTACCTGATTGTTGTTCCCGCAATTCACTCTCATGGTTTTTTTATTCTTCCTCTTTTCGTGACCAGAAGGATAGTTTCGCTTTATTTTGTCATGGATGTTGTACACATTAATTGACGCGCTATGACACGAGATGGAGGCGGGGTCTTACGCACCGGTCGCGTGCAGTCTATGGTCGCGTGCAGAGCTGCAGCCACGTAAACAGTTGAGCTGAGTGCCCGAATGGAAGTGAATGAGGCTTTGCGATTTTTTTTTTTATTATTTTTATTTTATCTAGGCCTACGTGAAATTCTTTTATCTAGGCCTAAAAAATTTTTTTTTTTTTTTTTTTCGGAAGGGCAACCTGAGTCGAGAAGGGCATATGGGCAGTTGCCCGGGCAACCTGAGCAACCCCCCTGTGCACGTCCCTGCGCTCGTCAATGTCAAAATGTTTGAGACCAATCAAAGCATGCAGAATTTTTGTTCACAGAAGCCCAAGCCGAGCGCTAATCCCAACGCGACGCTTCACTTCAGTTAACGATCATACAGTGCGAGATAAGATGCAAGTAGCTAAAATATACAATATTAACCACAATATACGGCTGGTTTTTGATAGAAGTTTTAAATGACCGACAGAAATAATCAGTTTGATCAAAGACAGTGGAAATTATAAGCTCAATTTAACAACACAAGCACCCTATTAAATATATTGCCATTATTATTCTATAAATATATTTGTATAACGTTTCCTCGAATGTTTTCGACTTTTCACTGTTTGTATCACTCCGCTTGTCTGTGTTTGCGCAACTTGCATCATTAAGCCAGAAGGCGGCGTCTTTATGAGTGAGCAATTGAACCATTAATTAAATGAACAGATTAGTCCAAAAACATTGATTGATTTAGGAAAGAAAAAGTAGCTGAAACTGGAACTGATTCTCATGTTTAAGAATCTGATCAAATACTTCATGCTTTTAAAACTACTGTTGTCCATTTTTTGGCCATCAAAACACCTTATGTCGAGATCACGAAAATCAAAAATGTCTCGGGGGGCATGCCCCCCAACCCCCCTAGCAATATCATTTATGGGACCTGGCTATTTAGAAACCCCTATGTACGGCCCTAATATGCAAGAATACTAGTGATTCTATATGTTCTATTGTATTCATTATATTCTATAGTCTTGCATATTCAATACTAATGCAAGACTAGTCTTACATGTCACTGTTTATAACACAGAGCGTTCATCCTTTGCTGGGATGCTTAAAAAAAATATTGGGGGCATAAATTAAGAGTATACCCACTTCTCCAGGCACCACTACATCACTGTATAGGCTATATTTTTCTATTACTAAACTTACTTTCACGAGTAACCATTTAAAGTAGAATTGTCACGTCTATGTTAAAAAAGGGAGAGACAGTTATCAGGGGTTTCCCTTCTTCTTCTTTTTTACAGCCTGTTTTTTCCTTATTGGATAATGGACTTTTATTTTGACGTATTTATATTGGCGTTTAACCTAGTTGGCTTCACGGTCGCCCAGGATAATATAAAGCACAATGGTCTCTTCATTTATATAATTTATCTAAATTAAAATGTCTATCCCACCTGGATCCATAATCGTGTCGGACTGGTACCACTGTGCAGACAGCAGAGAGTTTTTCATCAAAATACTGCATAAGACGAGATGGCGAAAGTTTGGTACGGATGATTACCATGGATACAGAAGTTAGGCGTCACTATGTTTGACTTTGGGTCTGGTATTTCTTATTGTGGATTGGAACATCTAGCTAAATGTAAAGGAAAAGAACAACTAAATGAATTATAGCCAACGTATTAAATTCTTTATAAATTATGTGGTTTTATATATATTGTGAAGGGCTCTTGGAGGCGCCAATGATGCCTCCTCATATGAATGTGGACATCGTTCGCTACAAGGTTCTTATCTCTGGTAAAAGTGGAGTTGGGAAGAGCGCTCTTGCTGCCCGTCTCGCTGGCCTCGAACTACCCAAAATGCATTATGAGACCACAGGTAAACAAACCTACACATTTAAAGTAGTTTGTAAAAAAAAATCATAGTAGCCTACTTTTAATAAATTCGTTTGAAATGACAGTGATCCATAAAAAGTGATTATTTTGAACTTGGGGTGGGTTGCCCACACATAGCAGCTATGGGTCATTCCTGGGATTCGCTAATATTCTTTCAATATTAAAATAGTTTTAAACATATTTTTTTTATTCATTTTCTGAATGCCCCACATCATTAGGCACACATATCAAACCTCAAACCAATCATATTTTACCACCTCTGGCATAAAGATCTTTTATTATTATTATTATTATTTCAAATTTAAACTCCTTTCATTCTCAACTCCGTAACAGACCAAATATAATTGGATTTCAAAGGATTTTACACAAAACTTGTTATAAAACAAACATCTACCGACTGCTCATGTGTCATATCCCTCATAACAATTTAATTAAGTAGTAACTAAAAATGTAACATTTATGATAATGTTCATAATGTGTCTGTGGTCTCTTTGTTTTTGTAAAAAAAAAATATTAATGTGACAAGGTTGAGAATAGTGTGCCGGGGTTGAAGACTATAACAGTTTTGAAGGGACATTGCCTTCAATTTGATATTTTTCTCTCTCTGTAATATTGTGCCCTTCTGTCTGGTCCAACATATCTGCATATACATATAGACCCTGTGCACATTTTGTTAAATGTTTTCTAAACAAATTAAGTGAAGTGCCTCAGGGACATGTCAAAATGCCTAGTGTAAGATAGAAATAATCTTGGAGTTAGAAATAAATAGACATTATTTTATGATTAAAATAGTTTTAAAGCAAATAATTATTTTTATTCATAATAATGACCATACCAACGTAATGTGAAAAGCTTTTAACATTTAATTTGTTAATATTACAGAATCCCAGGAATTACCCATATACATATGCCTCATTACCGACTGTTTCTATGGGTCACTATACGTAAGCTGTACGCCATATTGGAATGGTCAAAGCCGGTCCGTGAACACTCGAGAGCAAGTTGACTGTGCGTCTGCAACCATAGGCACATGTATAAATATCTATATTTGCAATAGACTTCAGCCGATGATTTTGTTAAACTAACACAATACAACAACAAGACAAAAGTGTCAGCTAACACGACACTAAAAGTTACCATAGTTTAAAACGCTGTAATATTGAGTTCATAAATATAGAAACCCAAACCAACACATTCTCACCTGTGGAAATTTAAATGGTTTTTGCAATGTTGTGGCATCATTGATTCTTACTGTAAGTGACGTTCCAAGATGACGGGCACCTACATATCTGTAGTGGTCGAATGTGTAATCTATGTATACATATCTATTGCTCACTAATGGTGGCCTTGAGATGACCAGCCACTTAACACACCTATTGTAATAAGATGCTTCTAGTGGTGAATTAAATTAATAATGGATGATGACAAATATTCTTGCTAATATGGTTTGAATGTCTACAGTACAATGGCATTGGTAATAGAGGGTTATGCTGCTTTCCATCCACACCAATAGGTGTCAGTATGCATCAATAAAAGAACATCGGTGATCATTGCCTGTCATTGATTCCTCTAGGCATAGAGACAACTGTGGTCTTCTGGCCTGTAAGACTAAAGGACAGTGGGCGTGTGCTGTTTTTCCGCTTTGAGCTTTGGGACTGTGGGGAAAGTGCCATGCGAAGATTTGACCACATGTTACCGGTGAGCATCTCCAGCACTTACATTCCCTTAAAGCTACAAATTCTGTTTCACATTTGAATATAGGCTGTGCTGTTTATGTCAATCTTCTCTCTTCAGTCATGTAAGGAACAGGTGGATGGCATCCTTTTCCTGTTCTCCTTCACTGATCGTGGCTCCTTTGATGATCTTTCAAATCAGATATCACGCATCACAGAATCTTCAGATCGAGTGGTTAAATTGGTGGTTGGCACCAAGTATCCTTCAGCTTTAGCATCTATTTACAATCAAATGAATATGTTTCAGGGTTATTATAGTTAACTATAAAAATATATTTATAAATAAAATACTAACTAAAATATAATTTGGGCCTGGTTTTACAGACAAAGCTTAGGCCCTGTTTACACCTGGTATTAAGATGCTGTGATTTGATAAGATTTGTGTTTTGGTCTGATCTCAAGTGGGCGACGCTAAATACAGGTGTTTTTCCACTTTCGAACACTTCCAGAAAACACAACAAAATTACTCAAACTTTAATGCCTGGCTTCACAGTCAAGACTTAAGGCTAGTAGTCCCAGACTAAAGTGTATGTTTGAGCTGTCTTATCTGAAAGCAACTTGCTCTGTCATATCTTAAAAGATGCATACCAGTAATATTCTTTTCTAAGACACATTCATAAAAGCATACTTCAATGTCCAAACTGAACTAAGGCCTAATCCTGGCTTAATCTAAGCCCTGTCTGTGAAACCAGGACTAAGTTGAAAATGGAAAATATATTTTTAATTTAAATTAATTTAAAATATTAATAAAATCTATTATTGCATCTTAATTATACTAAAACTAACATTGATATGTTGTTGTAACAGCATAGAGGTATATTGTTATGTGACATTGTCTTGGCCCTTAACAGTGAAGATTTGACTTATTTATGCACACAGACGTGACAGAGAGTGACATAGCACATTTTCAAGAGGTGTGGGGTCTTCCGGTCTTCCGAGTGGGAGGTGATGTGAGTGCGGGGCTTGGTGAAGTAGCACCCCTCCTAAATGCTCTTGCAGAAAATCTGTGGCATCAGGACTGCATTGCTGCTTCAACTGTCTCCATCTCCCCACAGGCTGCTCTTAGAGAAACAGGCTCAGAGATCATTGTATAGCTTGTATTGTAGATAAATTTCATATGTATTGGTTAGTATAAGGCAAAATTCATGGATGGACTATGCTGCTATGGAAATACCCAATTACTTGAAATATTTTTTGGTTTCTAAATGCCTACAAGTTTATTAGCCATTTCAGTCCAGTGACAAGTGCAAATATCTGTGAGACAAGAAATAGTCTTTTAAATGGTGATAGAAAAATGTCACAAAATTAGTCTGCTTCTTGTTTCATGACAGCTGCAAGAAATAAATTGTTAAATGCATATATTCATAGACCTCAGATATATTGAAGTCAAAAACCATTTATGTTTTTGTTTGTTAACCCAAACTATGACATATAAAGTAAATCAATTTAAAGGAGAAAACAGATTCAAGTTCCTAAAATGCTCAAACATACACCCATGGCATGCATTAGGTCTTCACTTCTTTGATTGAATCCATGATTACCGGGCCCTTTGCTGTGTGTTTTTGGGCTTTAATACTCAACACGCCACCTTTCCCAATTGAAGATGTGACTGACATTGGATCCACATCAGCAGGGAATTGGCACTTCTGAGAAACAGCGTCCACAATTGTGCCATCTGATGCCAACTGATTCATCAGGTAGGGAAAATGGAAAATAAAATAAATTAAACCAAGCATAAGAACTTAACAAAAAAATTAAATAAAAAGATGCATAGAGATTTCAATTCTATCCAATACTAAATGATCTATTGAGCCATTAGTTTATTTTGCTTACCTTTTCTGCACATACTCGTATAGAATTATTGGTGGAGGTTACAATAACTTCTTCTGGTGCAAACTCACTGACATTCACTGTGAATATATAAATATCTCCAACAGTGCAAATTCCCCCCTTTGAAAAAAAGATATTCATGGTTAGTTCTTTATGAGGTTCACATTAATGTGGTAATTGTGTTAGACGTTAGAATAAATTATTTGCAGAGGTCTACAAACACAATATTTGTAGACACAATATTTTTCTGTTTTTTATTTATTTATTTTTTACAAAACTTACCTTTGAATCACCACTTGCCATTGTAGATTTGTTTGGTAGAAAGGAAACAAAGGACACTTAATCCAGCTCTTTAGTTCATTTAAGATTTTGTCTGCTTTGTAATCAGTAAACTTTTGATGCTCAATTTCTCAGTGAAATTGTCTAGATAGAACAATGTGATGCTTTTATACCACAGCCTGGTTTTGGGTGAGGCTTGTATGATGTCTATGTGCAGAATGTATCATATAATAGAGAGAAGCGATTCATTTTGTAGGATGAATATCCTCTGTCTGGTCAGCGCTGCGTTAAAATGGTCTTTTAGAGAATATCTTAGAATTTTGGAACAAAAACATTATAATGGTAAAACTAAACGATATATTGATTGATTTCAAATTTGAGATTTGATTATGACTGAAGAAAAATTTGTCTCTCAACCTAGCAACTAATACAAACAACAGAGAGGTGATGTGAAATTCCACATCCACATTAAAGCTGTCATATCAGTACTAAATACCCAGAAGGTCCGTAGTCGTTTTTCGTGTACGTGATGGAAAGTTAATATAAAAGGGTAGAGTAAACAGACAGACCCCTAACTAACTTAAAGTCCCCATGAATTCAAAATTGACCATACTTACTTTGTTTGCCTAAATTGATCGTTTTGTGGTAAACAATGCATCCATGCAAGTCAATCCCATAGACAGTATAAGAAGTGGACAGAGCCATCTCATTGGAACTCAGTTGAGACAGTTGAAGCCCATTTTTAGCGATTTTTGAGCACTTCCGTTCCTGACGCGCAGACTCAAACCGACTCAAACTAAGCTTGATGACGTGAGCAACCTGTCTGACAGACGTTAATCTTCTAGTAGCTGTGCGTGAAAATAGCCAACGTTAATCTTGCAGAGACGGGGAACTTGAGCAAAGAGTTCTTTGGCGTGAGTGAGCAGGAGTAAGTATTCCGTTGCTTTTATGGACTCATTATCTATGGGCTTCTATCTTGACGGGACGTCCCCCCGATTGCCTGCGAGCTTCTCCTGCTGTCTGTACGGTAATTTCTGTACAGCGCGACAGAGAGTCGAGTGGTTATGACGCAATCGTTAGCCTATTTTTACTAAATCTGTTTCTACGGGGCCATAATGTAACATAGAAGGTAATGGAGCCCTTTATACATTGTCGTGTTTCTTTAGAAATAAACAATGGACAAATGGAGTCTTTAAACGCCTCAGATGTAAAGTTATTCGCTGTCAAAGTGACGCCAAAATGAATGGGAGTCAATGGAAATGCTAACCCAAGTGAAGTTCTGCTACAACATGGCGGCACCCGGCCGGCTTCAACTTCCGGTCGATGGATTACCCCCTTGGTCAATCCACACAAAAAAAGCCACGCCCACCATTTTGCCTCATTTAGTATTCCGTTTCTCTCGGAAATACGCCACAACACTGGAGAAAAGTCGTTTGAAACTTCCGGTTCACGGGGACATTAAAGATCTTCCCTTCGCTCCTACAATCAACTTAACTCGATATGGGACTTTTATTCTAAAACGCTCGCAGGTGTGGTGGCCATTTTGCAAACAGCCTTACTACCTCTAGCTTCATCTCGTCTTCCGTAATCCAGTTCATTGACGAATTTTGTCGGCGGGATTTTTTAACGTGACAGAAATGCACATCTGAAAACTATTTTCATTTAAAAAACAATATTACGATACACTCGTAACCCACACAGCTGATTAACCAGATCCAGACTCGCTGTTTTTAACTAGACGACCCCTAACGCCTGGCCAGGCAGAAAGGCCACAATGAAACTCACAGACAATGTGCTGCGGAGTTTTAGGGTTGCGAAGGTGTTCCGAGAGAATTCGGACAAAATCAACTGTTTTGACTTCAGTTCAAACGGCGAAACAGTAATATCGAGTAGCGATGATGACTCTATTGTTCTATACGACTGCCAGGAGGGAAAGTAAGTCGCTTATAAATTACTCAATGTGATTCTACTACAATTGTGGTCTTGTACTGATTCGGTCTTAACTGGAGTTTTAAAACACTTAAGTTACAAGCGCATTACTGTGAGATATGGGGAAGATCAAGATCGTCTACTCCCGTAGTAGCTAATAAAGGAGACATTAAGTTTACTGTTCATAGCGAATGCTATGGTTTGAATGTGTTTGTGCACACTAGCGATGTCCGATTCGTGAACGATTCTTTTATTTGAGTCGGATCTTTTCAATGAATCAGTTGAACCGGTTCACTGATTCTCCATTTTAATCAACCTACCAAAAACAATTCTCTTAAATATCCATTTAGTATTGAGTATTATAAATGCAAATTATAATTTAGTTACAAGTTAATTTTTTAAAATAAAAATCGTTGTTAAGAACGCTGGTATGGCTTAATCTGAATTATTTAATGTAAAATGCCACGTTCGGACGTCAATGACCACGTAATGACATAAAAGAATTGCTGATCCTTTAACCGGATCTCTTCGAAAGAACCGATTCGCGTAAACGAGTCGAATGTACATAAAGGTAGCGTGCTAACTGTTAGCATCCACGCCTTCCTTCTGAGATAAATGCCCGCCTTGTGACTGTAGTCAAATATATTGTTTTTAAGGTGAAGTGTTCCGTGTATATATACAGATATGTTATGTATCAAAATAAGACACCATATTAACATTTATTTCCTCTTCTGTTCTCTAAATCAGACCCAAACGGACGCTTTACAGTAAGAAGTATGGTGTGGATCTCATCAGATACACCCATGCCGCCAACACTGTCGTCTATAGCTCTAACAAGATTGATGGTAGGACTCTTTATAAAATCTCAGTATGATGTTGTTTTTCACTTCCTATGCCGTTCTTGTTTGTTACGATGTGGATCAAATATTATCCAGACGTTTATGCAGAAGTATGTTGTTTACTATAATTATTATTATGATTTTTTCATATGACAACAGTGCGCTGAAACGTGATATGCTTTATTGCACCCAAAAATAGATAATTTGTATCACATTTTATATATATATATTTTTTTTTAATTACGTGCAGTTTTATAACTTTATATTAAATGAGAGATTAAATGGCATATTTGTAACTCTACAAATTAATTTGTCAACTTTTTTGTGGGATTAGTGGTTTCCTCCTGATGTTTGTGTGAGGCTGTCTACCTGTGCCTGCTCTGGGTTGAGGTAGTTGTTTGTACAGTTTTTAGGGTCTGTTATTCTGCCCTGTTAAGGAGCTAACTGTACACACTACTGCCTTGCCCAGGGTTGAGCCCATTCATCCGACAGCATATACCATACATTTTACACATTCATGTATAAAGTCTTGTTTTTGTAGCTTTACTTTGATATGTTCTTCTCACTACCAATGTGGTTCTACAGATACTATACGATACTTGTCTCTACATGACAATAAGTACATTCGCTACTTTCCTGGACACAATAAGAGGTGAGAATTAAATGTCTATTCTTGGTTTCATACTATTTCCTATTTGCTTATTGGCTTTTGAGTTTAGTGCTTATTATATTTTATGCTATTTCAGGGTTGTTGCTCTGTCTATGTCTCCTGTTGATGACACATTCATTTCTGGCTCACTTGATAAAACTATTCGCCTGTGGGACCTTCGCTCACCTAACTGTCAGGTAAGCAGTGTTTTTATTTTGGGTTGGTGTTTTTCTTGATGGTCTATCTTTGATTCTAATCTTGGATGTGTTCACAGGGGCTCATGCACCTGCAAGGGAAACCTGTGTGTTCTTTTGATCCTGAGGGGTTGATTTTTGCTGCGGGAGTGAACTCAGAGATGGTCAAACTTTACGATCTACGGTCCTTTGATAAGGTAGCACTGTATAAAACTGCATCCAAGAAGCTGTAATGATATCTGACTTTAAATGGTAAAAAATAATACATTTGAATCCTACCTCAGGGCCCATTCGCCACATTTAAACTACAATATGAGCGAACATGCGAGTGGACGGGCCTCAAGTTCAGCAATGACGGAAAGCTCATTCTGGTCTCCACCAATGGAGGAACGCTCAGAGTGCTGGATGCTTTCAAAGGAGTTGTGCTCCACTCGTTTGGGGTGAGAAAATAGTTCTGTTTTGAATAAGTTTTGTCCAAGTTTGTGTTTGAGTGTTTAATGGAGTGTCTCTCTTCCTTACTGAAGGGCTATAACAACAGTAAAGGTGTCATTCTAGAGGCTTCTTTCACACCAGACTCACAGTTTGTCATGATCGGTAAGTCTTCACCAACGCCCCTCAACGGATCGAGAAAGGACTAGAAATGAGTTTACAGATAGTGATGCCTGTCTCCCCAACATTTGGATTTTCAGGATCAGAGGATGGGAAGATCCATGTGTGGAATGCTGAGAGCGGGATGAAAGTAGCACTTCTTGATGGGAAGCACACTGGTCCGGTCACCTGTCTGCAGTTTAACCCCAAATTCATGACCTTTGCCAGTGCCTGCTCTAACATGGTAAGGCTTAACCATATGGTAGAAACTTATCTGATATATTGGTTATAGCCCGGCGCAAATGGAATATGTGCACTGTTTCCATATGTTCTGCACTGGTTTTGAGGGAAATTTGTAAATGTTTAATATACTTGGAGGGAGTTATGCATTAGCATTCCTATTTATCTCCGTAAATTAAGGCGAATTATGAATTTTATAGATTTTAGAATTCATTTTGAGATAGGGCAGCACAATTAATCGAATTTTTAATCATGATTACTTAGTTGCAAATTTGGTGGTGCGTGCTGTGCATCGCTTCACTATATATAAAGCGTAAAATACCAATAAATCACGTTACTGGTACGTCATGTGTTTGCTGAGAAGGATTTGCGATTTATTATTTTTTAAAGAATTGCGATTCTACAAGTATTGCGATTCGATATTGCAATATATTGCAATTTTTTTAACACTAGACCATCAGGAAAAGTTAAATCACACACTTATACAGACTGTACATGATGTATAAGATGAGTCATATTTACAAAAACAAATCATCACATCTTTCTGACTTTTATTTAAGAAGCATCATACAATACTACAGTCTCTTGAATAAATTATTCAATAACAAATAAATTTAAGTCACTTGTCGCCACTTAGTTGTGAAACTATGTAATCGATAAATGCGTTATTTTAAGTGCCAAGTTTCTATCAATCGCTATCGTAGACATCAGTGTTCATTTTGAACTTTAAACTTTTATCCAAGTACTTCGATGATAATTTTAACTATTGCATCACAGAAATAATGATACTATGAGGTTGAAGATTGTTTGTGAAGCTGTTTCATGACAACTCT